ACTCCCTCATACAGAGTATAGATTTCATTAAGAGTTTCTATTATCTCATCCTCTTATTACTTCAGGATTCATGCTTTACTTGCATGATCATCTCATATTACTCATAACTTGTTATTACCCATTGAACCTATTTCTTGGGATCTCCAGTCATTTAGGTCGGGTTACCATCATGAGCAACTCATTTTCCTACAGGCTAATATTATCTTATATGATGTATTATAGACTTTCTCTCTAGCTAATCCTTTCGTCAAAGGATCTGCTAAATTTTCATCAGTGCGTACATGATCCACTCTTACAGCTCCTTTAGAGATACAATCTCTAACAATGTTGTGCTTTCTTCTTATTTGACGTATTTTACCATTATAATAACGATTCTCAATTTTTGCAATAGCCGCGGTACTATCGCAATGGATCAACACAACTGACATATGTTTTTCCCATAAGGGAATCTCAATTAGCAAGCATCTTAACCAACTTGCTTCTTCACTAGCAGTCGCTAATGCTATATTCTCAGGATAGTATGTTTCTTTGATTTCCAAGATACAACTCATCTAGCTATGTTGAATACATAGCCATTAGTTTCTTTAGAATCATCTGATAAGGTATTCCAATCTGCACCATTATATCCTTCAGGTACAATAGGAAATCTATGATAATGTAAACCGAGATTCATGATCCTTTTAAGGTACCGTATGACTCGCTCACTAGCTTGTCAATATTCATTGCTCGGTCTACTAGTAAACTCGCACAACAATCCCACGACATATGCAATGTCAAGTTTAGTACAATCAATGGAATACCTAAGACTTCCAATGATGCTCGCATGTTCTGTTTGTCTAACACTTTCACCAGTGTTCTTAAACAGCTTCACGATTGGATCATTTAGTGTGCTCACAAGTTTACTATCAAAGTAATTATATTTCTTTAAGATCTTTTTCACATATTGTGATTGATCCAAAGAAATTCTTTGCTCGGATTTTGTGATCTTGATACCAAGAATCACACTCACTTCTCCGAGGTCTTTCATATCAAAGTTGTTGCACAACAACGATGTCATATCATTAATGGCCTGGATGTTTGATCTAAATATGAGTAGATCGTCTACGTATAGACATATGATAGTGCAAATACAATTCTCAATTTTGTAATAAATGTATTTGTCACTTTCATTCAGTTTGTACACATTCGATATCATTAAGTTATCAAATTTTACATGTCATTTCTTTGGAGCTTGTTTTATCCCACACAAAGACTTATCTAACTTACATACCTTGTTTTCTTATCCATAGATCACAAACCCTTCCGGTTGTTTCATATAGATTTCTTCTTCTAAGTCACCGTTTAAAAAAGTGGTTTTAACATCCAAGCGGTGTACTATTAAGTTATAAATAGCAACTATTGAAATAAGTACCCTAATGGATGTAAGTCTAGTGACAAGAGAAAAGGTGTCGAAGAAATCTATATTTTCTCTTTGTCTAAAACCCTTGGCAACAAGGCAAACCTTGTATTTATCAATAGTTCCATCAGGTTTTAGTTTCTTTTTCAAAACCCATTTACAACTGATTGGTTTGCAACCAGGAGGCAAGTCTACTAAGTGTCAGGTCTTGTTAGATTCTAGAGATTATATCTCATCATTGATAACTTCTTGCCATAACTAAACATCCAGAGATGACAAGACTTATTGAAGATTCATTGGATCTTCTTCTACATTATAAGCCGCATAATCAGGCCTATAGTCTTTAGCAACTCTTACTCGTTTACTTCGTTGAAGTTCTGTTTCTACATTGTCGTTGCTTTCTGTGCTTCTTATCACATGAATGTGACTCGATTGTGTGCCCCCACTATTTCTCAATTTGAAAGAAAATTTGTCTTCATAGAATTCAACATCAGTTGATTCTATGATCACTTTTGCCTTTAGGTCATAAAACATATATGCTTTATTGTTTGCTGCATACCGAATGAAAACACATTCATATGCTCTACTAGCGAGTTTAACTCGTTTCGGATCCGAAATTCTGACATAAGTCAGACAACCCCAAGTTATCAAATAAGACAAGTTTGATTGTCTTTTCTTTAATATCTCATAAGGAGAGATCTTACATTTTGACTTGGGGACTCTATTCAGGACATAGCAAACAGTCAATAAAATTTCCCCCCACTAGTGAGGTGCAGCACCAGAATTTATCATAATTGCAACAACATGTTTAGTAAGAGTTCTATTCTTTCTTTTTATTTTACCATTCATTGCAAGATAGTATGGTGCAGTCGTTTCATGTACAATTCCATGTATAAAATTCATTAATAAACTAAAATCATACAGTTTCTCTATCACTGTAAATTCTTATTATATCATTTTCAAATCCTTTACAAAAATTTTAAACATATAAACTTCATTCTTCGTAATGGCGTACAAATCTACCCCAATAGACTGACTAAACTATGTCTTATTTAAAAGAAAACCAGAAACAATATTATTTCTAATCTTAGGAACATGAATAACGTTCCTTAAGATTAAAGTCTTTTTGAAGGTGAAATTTAGCTCCATATCTACAATTCCAGCAACATTCGTGGTCTGACCATCTCCCAACAACACTTTCTTATCTTTAGTATTCGTGTATGTTTAAACATAACACGATCGTAACAGACACAACGAGAGACACAAGTGTCTATTCACCAACCAATATATCTATTAACCATGTTGATTTCAATGACCATAGCAATAAATTGCCCATTAGTCAGGTTGACCTGTGCATTAGGGACAACACGAAGTTCAACCTTACTTCTACATTTCTTAGTCATATGACTTAATTTTCCATAGTTAAAACAAAGAGAAACCAACGTCATTTCTTTTAGGTGGTGGTTGTTGCCTAGTTGGAGCTATTGGGATCATAGAAGGATTCCCATTCTTAATTCGATTCGCAATATTGTGGTTCTGATTCTTTAATCATTTGTCAAATGACTTCAGAACTACACCGAATTTCTTTTTGTTGTTTGAAACAACCAAGACTTTTTCTTTTTGATATTGTCTCTAAGATTCCTTTTTTTTTGTTTTTTAAACATTCAAACTGTGGGGGTAGTTTGTCAATAATAAAACCAATTTGAAATTGTTCATTTAAACACATACCTTTTGTGATGATCTTTTAAGCAATCTTTTGAAGTTCGTAACATTGAGCCTCCATCGACCTTGCATCTTTGCATTTGTTACTTGAAGTAGCGGCTAACAACATACTTCTTTGCTCCAGCTTCTATGTCATACTTCTTTTTCTGAGTCTCTTAATCTTGTTTTGCAGTATCACATCAACTGTAATTATCATACAGATCATCTGCGAGTCTATTCAAAATATGATTTTGTAGAGATTTTCGTTCTCTTTCTATAAGGTGATTTCTTTACTATGCTGTAAATCATTCGCTTTAATCTGTGCAGCAGATTCAACTTCAACACTATTAAGTGTTCCTTCTAAATTTCCAGATTTACTACCGTTAATTTGTTCGATTGATCCAGAAGGAGCAACAGAATGTCATCGATCAAAACGTTAACAACTTTTTTCAACATTAAGAACTTCATCTTTTGTTGCCAACGTTTGAAGTGACTTCTCTCAAACATGAACGATTTCTCAACGACAATATCCGCAAAAGAACCAATAATCTCTTCGGTACCATGGCAGTTTGAAACGTCTTAAAATTGTTGGTTTCGAATTTTAAAATATTTGTCACCGAAGAAATTACCAGGTTGAATCGCGGACTAGGTCGCTCTCTTTAAGACGTTTTGCAGTACTGCTCAAAAATTATGCAAAGCAGTCGAACTACCGCACCGCCTCTAAGATAAAACATAGATAATCGGTCTAGAAATACACCCTCTTTATGGTACAAGACCATTCAAATATGGTATCAACACCACTCGTAGTATATAATTTCTCAAACAAAAAAAAACTCAAATAATTCTCCAAAGAGAAATTAATAATGGTCATTTGACCAGTCATAATAATTTCTCTAACAAAGAGAAATTCAAATAATTCTCCAAATGAGGAGAAATTAACATAATTCTCTAAAGAGAATTCAAGAAAATACTCGAAAAATTCAACGAATAGGAAGAAAGGAAAAGAAGATGACGCTTCGACAATTCGAGAGACACAGAGTTATGAGAGTGAGGAAGAAAAAACTAATAGAATAGTTTTTGGTGTGATTTGAAATGAAAATGCACTCCTTATATAGTGAAGTAGGATAGTTAATATTTCTCACATGAGCAATGTGAGACTAAATGATTTTTTCAACCAAAAAAATATTCTAACAATGTGGGATTTAAGATATTTTTAAACATGGACATGTTCCAACAGTAAATAAGAAAGCAAACACGCTTCACTTTTAGGTGAGACTCCCCCAAATAGAACTCATAAATATGCACTATCATTCAAGGGGTGATCGGTCATTGACAGCTGAACTCAACGAGAGTTCACTCGGTAAAAAATCACTTAAATTTCTCATTGATCAAAATATTTTATAGGTAGGTAGCCCTTCTCAAGAAGCCAGTCTCTTAATGAAAACACTAATGTTACGAGCATGAATCCAAAAGTGGTAACGTGCTGCAAGTGCTAACAACAGCAACAAACACATGATATCATAAGAACTTATTGTGCCAAAAGTTATACTGCAAGTTGCATAAACACAAGTAGGTGAGAACTATAAAATTGTTGAAAGAGAATCATAACAGAAATTCACAATCTTCGCTATTATTAATCTACATGCATGTAGATTGACTGTTATACGAGTTTATAAACAACTAATTCCTTTAACCAAAACTGAAGAATGAAAAAAATAGTATAACCAGCCATTATCTAAAAGGAATCTTAACAGGCTACATAATGTCCAAGAGGCGAATGCAAACCTTCTATCACCATCAATTTCCAACATCAGCTACAAACGTTATTCAACCACCTTATAACATTGAGATTAAAAACTGTTTAAACAGAGGAAGCTATCAGTAAAGTATGAACATTGAACAGTTAGTTTTGCAGCATCCATTGCATGATGTCCTTCCTGATAACACTCCCTGACCAATTCACTCTGTAATTTTGTCTAAAGACCTCAGAGGTATAGGTGCTGAGGTACCTGCCATGGATGGAGGTCCCAGCAGGATTTGGTGGTATCATCATCCTTGAAATGCTAGGAAAAGGCTTTGGCGTTAATGCAGTAAACAAGTGCCTATCAGAGTCCTTCTTGAATGGCACAGAATTACTAGGAAGCTTGTGGATGGAAGTGCCGGCAGTATGCTTTGTCGTACTTTCTTTCGAGTTACCACCATTAGTGGATGGATGAGAAGGACCGCGGATTCGAGCTGAGGGCTTTATTCGATCTAGACATCGCAAAATGAAGTTCCCAACATTCCTACCCACTTCTATGTCTCTTTCTTGAATGCTCCGGTGAACCTTGATTGCTACATCAAATACAGCACGTGTGCGTCTGTGAAACACCAAAACAGGAACACCGATAAAGATTCGAATAACACATATGCAGGACAAATAGCTAGTAACAAGAAACAACAATAAACCAAAAATTGGGACACATGAAAAACATTTGAACTTCAACTGACTTTTAGCCATAATCAATATTACAAAATCAACTCTCGTCACTGCAGGACAAATTACTTTTTCATCTCAGCACAAAAGCTACCTTTTATCACACTTTTAACTTAACCGAGGTTTTGAGGTAAAATCAAATTTTCCTAATAACTAAACAATGGTCATGTTTGTCAGCTGACTCAGTCGATTACTATAAACACCATGAAACCAAATATACATTTAGCCTCTCAGTTAATCTTAAGTTAATTAATCATATAAAACCGATTCTAGATAAAAGTGAATTGAACTTCAAATAATATGTTTAGATAAGCAACAACTCCAAATTCTAGTTTGAAGTTATAATAAGTTTGGAGATAAAATTAATTATACTAGTGAACTTTATAGCACCGACAGCTCGGAAAAAAAATGTGTCCATGCCAGTGTCGATGTCGATGTGCAAAACCGACACACCGACATTTGTGATTACGCCTAATTTATTCATTTTTCCAATTTATTACCGGTATCGTGTTTCCAGAGTCCGGCACTAGTGAATAATCAAAGATATCAAAATCAATTATATACTTCTAATATCAATTGAAAAGTAGTAATCTACTAACAAATATACATTACAGAGATTATCAAGCCGAATAAATGATCGGTAACCACTAACCAGCATCGAATTTCAGGATATTCAAAAAATCTAACACTAATAATCTTTAACCTCGTAAAGTTTCATTCAGCAAAAATCACCACAAAACAATCATTTCGCAAGATAATCAAGAATCTTGACAACAATATCACAAATTCCATAACCAAAAAGTTGAAGAAAACGAGAAAAAAAAACGAACCTGTGAAGAAATTGACGGATCTTAGGGTACTTAGGGCTTACGACTTTCCGTTGAATCCTGAGAGCGAGCTTGTAAGTTCGTTTCAGCCCCAAGAAATACGCAGTTCCAAGTGTTATCTCCCACAGCACCATTGCAACTTTTTCTCTCTTTTCTACTTTTTATTTTCTCTCTTTTTATATTACTTTGATTTTTAAGAAGATGAAATGCTAACGCTTCTTGTTTTTCCTCTCGCGCAAGTTTGGATTCTATTCTACAATCTTGTGTTCGCGCTCGAGAATTTTCGTTCGCGGTGATGCTGCTGCGTTTTTTGTGACTGGGCGTTGGATTTTACTGGATTTGGGCTTTTTTGTATGGGCCCATAAGCTTTATATGGCCCATAATCAATGTTGACCCACTAGAAGTTTAGGTTTGTGCGAATATTCGAGATTTTATTTGCCTCCCCAAAATTGAATGGGACACTTTCCTATAATGGTTGCTACCGCTTTGTCCCATATTAGTTTTCACAATTCAATATTGAGAAATAATAAAAAATAAAAAAGAGAATAATGATTTTATTAAATTATTCTGATTAGTTATTGGTGTATTTAAATTAGCATTAATGTTAAGTGGAAAAATAATAAATTAAAAATATTTATTAGAGTGTGCAATTGAAAAATTAAATATAAAATTATATTAGTAATCTAAATTGACAAGTATTTTGGGACAATTTTTTTTAAAAATATGATACTTATTTTAGGATGGATGAAGTATTATTTATAATGTCATTTTAACATGTGCTCTAAGGATATGGTTTAAGGTTTAAAGATACTATAATTAGAAAATTTTAAATGTAAGTAAATGTAATAAAGTCATATTTAAAATTTCAACACATTGAATACACGCATTAAAAAAAATATTTTTATAAATAATTTATTAATTTGTGCCCTTGAGGTTCTTGTTAGTTTTTTTCTTATTTATATGCCCCACACAAAAATTTTAAAATTTATTTTCGCAATTATTAGAATTCAAAATAAATTACTAGAATTTAAAAAAAAAAATTACTAAATTTTTTTAAAAATCTAATGATTCATATTCAACAAATTTTTTTACACTAAATGAAAATTTTAAAATTTCTAATAAGTTACAATATTTTTCAAAATTTTCGATAAATTACAATACTTTTAAAAATTTCCGATAAACTAAAGTATTTTTCAAAATTTTCGATAGTGTTAAAATATTTATTTTAATTCTTACCGGTAATTTAAAAATAAACTATCAGAAATTTAATATGTTGTCGGAAATTTTAAATAATCTACCAAAAATTTCGTTTGTGCCACCTAGGGGTGTCAAAATGGGTTGGGTCCACCGGGTTGACCCGTTTGATCCGTCATTTTTTATGGATTGGGTTGGGGTTTTCGGCTCGGTATCTTAAGTTGGTCTGTCTCGCCTAAACTGCTTTAAAAAGCGGGTCGAGGCGAGGCAGGTTTTCCCCGCGAGCTTTTTGTTAAAACTTTCACTCTTTTTAATAAGAATTAAAACAACTTTAATTATAAAAATAACACTTATCTCTTAGGATTGTATTATAAATTATTATACAGACAAATTGAATTATAATTGTAACGTTCTTTCTATAACTTTCTAATACATGCGTGGATTGAAATAAAAGAACAAATGTATGACACACATAATTATTAAGTTTTCAATAAATTAGTTTATATGTTTTCTTTAGAAATAGATGTTGATTTTAAGAAAAGGAATGATTTGATTAGTGTATACGTGTGACAAATTTAAAATTTATCTATTAAAGAATCGGTCAATATAAGAGTCTATATAATATACTGTGGTATTATGCAATGTTATTGTTATCATTATTGGTTTTGTGTAAATTCCAAATTAGGTTTTTTTAGTAGTTAGTTTTTAAATAGAATTAGGATGATATGTATTGTTTATTTATTTTGATTTTTTTATTGTGTTTGAGTTTTTTTTGTTGTAATTGGTCTTTATTTATTAAATTTTTTGAATTGTTTGAACTTAAGACATCTTGAAGTTCTATTATGTATTGTCAAAAAATTTATTTATTGACCTCTTTGGTAATAATTAAAATTTTTCTAAATTATGTATTAAATCAAATTATAAAATTATAAAATTATAAAATTAGCGGACCGGCCTGCCAACCCGTCAACTCATTAGTAAACGGGACATACTTAACTTTTGAGCTCGGACCCCTACGTTGGCCCGCCCTGCCCCACTTTTGGATGGTCTTAAACGGGGCGGGCCTAAATGGGACGGGTCGCCCGCTTTGCCACCCCTCAAATTTGTCTATAGATATTTAATAATTAAGAAAAAAATGAGTGTCAATTTTAAAGATGACAGGTTAAAATCTCGATATATTCTAATCATAGATAAGAAAACTCAAGTAACTAACGTTACCTTTCTTTTTCATTGATTTAGTATATGTTTGGTTTCACTTCTACAAGACCCAGAATCAATTCTAGAGATGTAGAAGTGATTATGGATGATTTTCAAGTGTTTGGTTTGTTAAAAGTAGAATCAATTTTGTCTCCAGAATTGATCTTACTTAAAGCTAAAATTTGTAGCTTCTATCTCCATAATTGATTATGGATGATTTTTACACTGAAATTTATCGTTCAACTCATTTTTACATAAATTTATTCAAACATAAATTAATTCTATTAAATTCAACTCTGTTAAAATCAATTCTACCGAATTCAATTATACTAGAATCAATTATGTCCAGCATCAATCCAAATATACCCTTATACTATTGACAAAATTGGATTTGCCTTCGATGAAAATATAAAATCCGGACAAATATTTTTTTTATCATGTTCAGAATTTTGAAATAGGATAAATTATTAAAATACATCATTAACAACAATGAATGTTTGATCCAAATATAAATAGATATTTTAAAGAGATGATAATGCAAATGTTATTTTCATATTTGTAATAAATACATTAAAATTTATATTTGTACACCCATCAATTAGGCAACATACAATGTTCTTTATACTCGATATCCCACACGACTTCCTTATTACAATAAATAGCAATCCTGTTGTTACAATTGTTGAAATCACATATCCTTCTATTTTAGATAATACTAGTGAGAGTGCAAATGTGCATTCAATGCCGACAAAATCTGAGGGGTATGACGAGACATGAGATGAAATTGCATGACGAGCTGAACTAGATTCTTAAACAAGAAGAGCTTATGTGGTTTCAGAGATCTAGGGCTAAGTGGCTCACTGATGGTGACCGTAACACGGAGTATTATCATCTTAAAACTATGTCGTGAAGAAGTAGGAACAAAATTATTATGTTGAAAGATGATGATAGAAATTTGATTGAGGACGAAGAATAGCTTAAAGGAATGGTTAATGATTATTACAAGAAGCTTTTCACGATCAGAGAGCATTGGAATGTGTGGCACCAATCAAAGATTTCCTTCCCTAGTTTGGACATGCAAATGATACAAAAGTTGGATAATCATATCAGTGATGAGGAGGTTCGACAGGCGGTGTTTGGTATGGAACCTTGGAAAGCTTCAGAGCCCGACGGTTTTCCTATTGGTTTCTATCAAAAATCTTGGGAGGTTGTGAGCAAATATGTGTGTAATTATGTCAGAATGCTGTGGGATAATCCTGCTTCTATAGGAGATATAAATAAAACAGATATTTGCCTTATACCAAAAGTGGATCACCCGAATAATGTCATGCAATTTCGGCCAATTTCACTATGCAACACTCTTTATAAGGTCATTAGCAGGTTGTTGTTTGAAGGCTGAAACATCGCATGGCTCATTGGATTTCTCCTTATCAAACAGGTTTCGTCCCAGATAGATTCATTCATGAAAATATTATCATTGCTAAAGAGGTAATTTGCATTATGGAGAAAGTGAAAGAAAGAAATGAATTTTTGCTATAAAAGTGGATATCTCGAAAGCTTATGATAAGTTGAGTTGGAAATTTATGGCATATGTTACAGGACATTAAACTTCCTACTCATATGATAAATATGATCATGCATGTTGTGGCTACGGTGGAAACAAATGTTAACTGGAATGGTGCTTGGAATACGTACTTTCACCCTCAGCGTGGGATTAGGCAAGGCGATCCGATATCACCATATCTTTTTGTGTTATAAATGGATAAGTTATCTCATCTCATTGAAGAAGAGGTCATGAACAAGATTCGGAAGGCGATTAAATTGGGCATATATAAGGCTACAATTTCTCATCTCATGTTCGCTGATAACTTGCTTCTGTTTGGGGAAGCTACAGAATGCCAAATGAATTGTGTGATGGATACGCTTAACGGGTTTTGTAGTATGTCCGGTCAGAAGGTAACTCAAGAGAAAACAAGTGTGACATTTTCAAAGAATGTTAATAGGAGATATGCAGATGAAGCTTGCGGGGTTATCCAAGTACAAAGTTGTGAACAATTCGAGCAAATATCTTGGAGTCCCTATAAGTGGTAGGAGGCTGAGCAAAAACGAATTTCAATATGTTATCGAACAGATTGCATCCAAGCTAGACAGTTGGAAGAAGAATAGATTATCGTTAGCGGGTAGAATGACTTTAGCTAAGAGTGTCATCGAGGCAGTTCACGTATACCCGATGATGACAAAAAAGATCTTGAAAGCTTGCATTGAAGAAATTCATAAGATGCAGAGAAACTTTATATGGGGAGATACCATTGAGCATAAGAAGATTCATGATGTGGGATAAGACTCTCTCACCATGCCTAAGGAGATGGGAGGATTAGGGCTCAGGAATCTTAATGATCTAAATTCAGTCTACAAATAAAGCTTGGTTGGAAAATTTACACTAGGGCTGATGATTTGTGGTGTAATATTCTGAGGAGTAAATATGAAGCGAATGAGAATGAGGTGACATTGCAGATGAGGAATTCCGATTCATTGCTTTGGAAAAAAAATAGTTAAAAGCATTCCTAAGCTGCAACAAACTGAGATGTGGAATATGGGGGATGGTAAAAGTATCAAAGCTTGGGATGATAATTAGCTAAGGAAAGATTGGTGTTTGTCTAATACAAATATTCATATTCCAGCAAACTTACATGGAGAAAATGTGAGTGATTTAATTGATGATACTGGAGAGTGGAACATTAGC